TAATGTTAGGTAGATAGTACAATTACTAAAAAAAAAAAAAGGAAATGAATACTTTGTTATGAGACGGACCAAAATAGAAAAATAGATAGATTGTTAAGGGATGGAGGGAATATAATACTAATAATGTTATTTTAATTATTTTTACTTTATTTTTATTATATCTCAATATAATACTAATATTTTTAAAATTTTGCGTAAAAAACAATCATAGTTATGAGATATAGGTTATTTCACTTTTTTTTACAAAATAAATTAAAGACACTTAATTGGGGAACATAGACACAGGTTAAGGTATAGATATAGGGCCTTATTTAGTCTATCTCTTTCTCGGAAATCACACATCACATGCATCGATATTGTCAAAAATATATATATAAAATAAATAAATAAATAAAAATAAAATCTTGCATTGCTATTGTTTTTAGATTATTTTAGAAATAATATTTTCAATAAAATTAAACATTAGATTTAATAAATTTTAGTAAAAAAAAAAAAAAAAAAAAGGGTAAATTAACACTTTTTTGTATTAATAAAACATTCTATATTTTATTTATTGCGGAAACTCTCTTGTATTAATGTAAAGTTTGCATGAAATACTTTTATTGTCTAAAATTTATGTTTAGTTTTAAATAAATACCTAAATTACGCAAGTTTTGTACAAATTAAAAACATAAAATATCTTAAATAATTTTTTTGAATAAAATAAATAAATAAATAATTGATCAATCATTTATATTTATAGTTTTTATAAAAATGAGATAACAATTTATCTCTAAAAACTATAAAATGAAAGATTAATCAACTATTTATTTAATTATTTTATTCAAAAAAATATTTAAGATATTTTGTGTTTTTTATTTGTATAAAACTTGCGTTATTTAGGTCTTTATCGAGAATCAAATATCAATTTTGGACAAAGAGAGTGTTCCGTGTAAATTTTACGCTATCAATTTTGGACAAATAGAGTGTTTCGTGCAAAATTTACGCAATAAATAAAATACAAGTGTTTTGTGCATTTTTACTAAAATACAAGGGGGTGTGATATAATTTACCCAAAAATAAATGGGTTTGATATTTTGTCTCTCATTTGTTTACTGGGTTGGTTATATATACAAACAATATATATTAGTATTACATACAACACATGTTATATATAATAAATATATATATACAAATATATCACGTGATAAAATCAATTGTTGTGTGTTGTATGAGACTATATCATGTGTTATTAGTTTATGTGTTGTATTTGTATTATATTAACATATACAATGCGTTGTCTGTAGTAATACTGTGTGTTGTCTGTAGTAATATTGTGTATTGTTGAGACTATAGCATGTGTGTTTTATTCCAGGGTGTCAAAAGTAAACCCGATCCGAAAAATCGAACCTGTTCGACCTGAAATTTTTCAGGTTTGTTTTGGATTTTTCGGGTTTGAAAAAAATCGGGTCGACCCGAACCTGAAACGAAAAAAATTCGTGTCGTGTTCGGGTCGTGTTTCGGGTTGACCTGATAACTTGAAATATAAAAATCGGATTAGGTTTTGAGTTTCGTGTTTCGGGTTGACTTGAAATTTTTATTATTATTATTTTAATTTATAGTAATATTGATATTATTTTAAATATTAAATAATATAAAAATAAAAATAAAAATTATAGTATTTTTTAGGTCAATTTAATTTTTTTAAAAAAATTTCGGGTTTGTTTCGCGTCGGGTTCGTATCGGGTTTGTTCGGGTTTTGGATGACCTGAAACTAATTCAGGTCAACCTGAACCTGACCTGAAAGAATTTGTGTCGTGTTCGGGTCTAGGGTTTCAGGTCAGATTTCGGGTTCGGGTCGGGTTCGAATTGACAGTTTTTTTGTTATCCCCATGGCTCAACCTGACACGAACACGATCCAAAAATACGAATTGACACAATTTATTCATATATTGTATTTGTATTATATTAATATATATTATACTATTTATTATAATATTATGTGTTATCTAATAGCACACGATGTATTGTTATAATACAATGCTCAATTTTAGCCGCCACTTGTCTCTTGTATTTACTCTCCTTTTATAGCCACCTATCCTCACCTATATATATATACACATATGTATGTTAGAAAAACAAATATGGAAAGAGTCCATTTTCAATAATCAGTCATGTTTCGCACACGCCCAAATATGTTGCATTGTCTCTGAATTTGGTTTACACAATTTAATACTACTTCCGTTCCAGAACTATAGTATGAGTTGGGTTTGACACGAAATTTAAAAAATATTGATATTATATTTGTAATAAGTAAAAAGTACGGGTAAAATATTTTTTTACCTTTGTGAATATATTAATGTAAAAAGTAGCGGCAATTATATAATAATAATGAAAAAATATGAATAATTTTATAATGATATATGATTATTTATGAAAATGAAATTAATGTTTTTCGATGAATAAAAATAATAAATAAAACTATTGTAATAATACAGAGTGAGTAGTAGAAAGACATTGAATCATAGATAGTTTAGTACTATTACATATTAATGCTATCATGTGGGAAAGTAATTAACCAAAAGGTCTTACAATATTCACAAATCGAAGTTTGATTAGCAATTATTTTCAAATTTTATATTAAAAAATATATACTTCTTTCGAAAATATATATATATATTTCCTCCGTCCTTTATTAAAGGATATTTTGGAATTTTGTAGTTAATATAAAAATAATAATATTTGATTAATTAATAGAAGTATATAAATTTTTGACATTTATTCTAGTGTAAGATTTTATATTTTTATTTTTAAATAGGAAAGAATACAATGATACAAATGAAAATGATAAAAAAATATATTTTGAATTGAGATCGAAGAAATATAATTTTATAAAAAATAAAAATAAAGTATTATAAAAAAATTATTAATAAATTAATTAAAAATGGTAAGACAAGTAGAAAAAAAAATATAATTTTAAATATTACTAAATCCATAAAACAATGTATATAAAATTAAATATATTAAATTGAAAAAATAAATATTATATAGCTCGGCCGACTATTTCCATTTTTAATTATTGCTATGCTTTGAACAAGGGCGTGTTTAGTTTTGAACACGGCAGTGTTGGTATAAATATGAAACAACACGCTCGTGCTATAATTAAGACGGTCGTATTTATTCCATATCACTTACCACATCAGTTTTCGTTATGGCCACATCAGCCATTTTCGTTGAAGTTTAAACGGTGGGACAAAAAATGATAATTTATTTTTTTTGTATGAGATCAATTTTGATAATTATTTTTGAATGGACCAAGAATGAAAAAAATAGATTTGATTGTGATCAAAATTGATGGAATATTGACATGAATAGCCTATTCACGTACCCTAAGGGTGTGTTTGTTTGGGAGTTTGAATTTTAAGTTGAAATTTGAATAGTAAAAAATTTGAATTATAATAGTTGTATAATATGATATAAATAGTCGTTAATGTGATATTTTGAATGTAAATATTTTTATTAATATAATATAAAAAAATAAAAAATAAGTATTTAATTTGATATTTTTTAGAAAAAAAAAAAATTGATGAATAATAAAATTTGAGAATTTTCTCCAAACGAACACACCCTTAAATCTCTTTTCAATTTTGAATTGCCTAATATCGGTTTATTTATACACATGAAAATTGACCCAACTTTGGGGTCATTCATTTTCAAATCACTCCAGAACAAATTCCTTGTGAGCACTGGAAAACAAAAAAAATGTACACATTACCACAAAGCCTATCAAATTTACTTAAACTCTGTTCAATCTTGAATAGTCTAATATTGCTACATAAAATTATATCATATTCTTTACATTGAATTATATATATACTGTCAAAACATGTACTAATGAATATGGTGTCTGCCTTATACATATATATAGGAGGCACAGCCTCCGCCGGCCGGAGACCTCTCCTAGCTTCCGTCGCTACCCGAGAAGGTCCCGACCGACGACAATCAACAGCAAGATGCCCCAACGTCCAACAAGAAGCACAATATCGAGGGAGCCTCTCATATATCTCTCTCTGCGCTATCCTGGCATCCCCCAAATCAATAAAAAATCTGTCGATCAACGACTGTGACACATCAATCTCAATGCATGGGAGCACCTGTCTCTCCTAGCCGTCGGAGCATCAACTAGCAAAGGTTTCCCTAGCCTCAATGCTACCACAAAGAGCATGTTCCGGTGATACATATGTAACGGTAACTGTGGGAAAGTCACCTACACCAGGACAATAGAAGGATCCTCCGTGGCCTTAGACTCTAGCGTCCACTTAAAGACGCGCATTGGTGCCCCGCACACCATCCAAAGGCCACGGATCAACAGACGAATATAATCACGTCTATCCATCGGACGAATGTGAATATGTCTATGACATAAACGATAAAGCTCATGCTGCCCCACTAATCGAAATCTAGAAAATGCATCAACTAAAGCATGCCATGACGAATAACCTATCGGGAACCTCCCGACTAGAACATGCTTCCAAGAGGGATCACATCAACCCGATATGTATATATATATATATAAATAAAAACATAAGTCAACAAAAATAAAAATTTATCACTCTCTATAATACTTTCATAAATCCTCATATTTCACAGCAAAATCACTAAAAATTACTAAACCCTAAACAAACAAAGTACTTGCAAACATAGGAACATGTGTTTGGTTTGTATTTCAAACACACATCTATTTAGTTTGCACGGTTCCCAACCTTTCACAAAACACTATATTATCCCGAAAGAAGAGTAACGTTTGCACGTAAATTTTTGAATATTAGTGTTATATTGTTTATAATAAAAAAGACAAAAATGCCCTTATTAGATTATGTGATGTAAAAATAATTGTAGAGTTACTAAATAAGAAAATGACAAAAATAGAAAATAATATCCTTCTTATGAGACAGAGAGTGTATCAAAATTCTATGTAAAACAAACAATAAAATTCTAATATGATTAAAGACAAAAGTAAATGCAGCAAAATATTTAATTTATAAAGACAGCAGTAATGTTACAAGTGTGCAGTTCAAGGATCATCATGCAAACACAATCAAGAACCTATATAAATATATATATATATATGTATGTATACATAAAATTTAAACGACCACTGCAACTACTACCTCAACTCAAGAATAAAATCAAATTTAGAGATAACAAAGTTCAGCAGCCATAAAAAGTGGTGGAGAATTATTATCATCAGCCCCCAAAATTGATCGATCAAACTCCAATTTCTCCATCAAAATATATATATATATATATATAATCACTAAATGCATAAACCAGCAGCAAAATTCAAACTTGTTTGCAAATAGTAAAAACTTACCTAATTTGATTCACAATGCGAATCAATCGTCGACTTCGGCTCTGATCTCCTTGACAAGCTCGTCTTTGTATTCCTCGAACGAACCCGGGAATGTCTCCACAGTGCCGTTCTCGACTACCCATATCTCACTCCTCTCTTCATCTTCGCAGACGCGCGAAATCAGCCTTGAATCATGGCTGACGAGCACAACTCCCCCCGTGAACTCATCGAGAGCATCTGCCAGTGCATCTATACTTTGCATATCCAAATGATTCGTGGGCTCGTCTAATAACAGAATGTGCGGCTTCGACATCGATATGGAAGTGAAAACCACGCGGGCTTTCTGTCCACCGGAAAGTTTTAAGATTGGAGTTAAGTGGTTGTGGCTAGGAAGTCCAAATTTACCGAGCTTTGCTCGTACAGCTTCTTGCTTGCTGAGTCCTTCTTGATCAGGATGCAATCGTAGCAGATATTGAACGGGAGTTTCGTCCATTGTCAGTAGATCTACAAAGTGTTGCGAGTATCTTCCGATTCTCAATTTCTGGCTTCTCCTGACCTCACCCTCGGTGGGAGTTAAATCGCCGGCAAGAAGGTTGAGTAGGGTCGACTTCCCGGCACCATTTGGCCCAACAATGGCAACGCGTGTGCCCATATCAATGCCAACATCCACATTCGAGAGCTTGAAATCAGGGCGATTAGGGTAGCTGAAGGTGACTTCGATCAGCTGAAGAAGTGGCGGAGTTAACTCTGTGGGTTCAGGGAAATGAAACTCGACAGTGTAGTCTCTCCATTTCTGAGGAGCCTCCTGCACGGGCTCGTCGTCATCGACTTTGTTCTTACCCTTATTTTTCGAGGCTTCTTTAGCTGCGGCGAATTTGGCTCTGTCCTTGACCTTTTCTTGCTGTGCTCGGTTCCCGGATCTCGCTGCAGCCTTTACCTGCTTGCTGTAAACCTCAAACTTCTTGTTCATTTCTTTCCGGCGCTGCTCATATCCACTTTCGAAATCATCGAAATTCCCACGGTAGAAATGGAGTTTCAGATCATGGAGATGGATGATCTCATTGCATACGGTGTTGAGAAAATCTCGATCGTGAGAAACTACAACCAGAGTTTTCTTCCACCGGCATAAGTATTCTTCCAACCACAGAACAGCTCGGAGATCGAGATGATTGGTAGGTTCGTCCAACAGCAACAACGTCGGCTGAACAAAAAGCGCCCTCGCCAGTGATATTCTCATCCTCCAACCACCACTAAACGACTTTGTTGGACGGCCCTGCATATCCTTCGTGAAACCCAAACCGGCAAGAATTTTCGACGCCTGAGCCTCAGCAGCATCTGATCCCATCAGCTGCAACTTTTCATACAATTCGGTGAGCTTCTCCCCCACATCATCCCCCTCATCATCGTCATTGTCGCCATTGGTGGCATTTGCAGCATCCTGCAAAGATGCAGCTTCTTGTCTAAGTTTAATGAGTTCTTCATTGGCAGCAACAACTGCTTCCAGAGCAGTTTTATCGTCGCCAACAACCTCCTGCTCGACTAAAAGTACATCAATGTTTTTAGGCACCGGGATCTTTCTCCAAGCAAGAAGCTTTAGCAGTGTAGACTTCCCCTTCCCATTCGGCCCAACAAGCCCATACCTTTTCCCATGAGAAATCTTTACTGATGCATTCTTCAAGAGTTCTTTCCCACGAGCAGCTACAGAAAAGTTATCTACCGTAATATCTTTCACATTAGCATCTGCATCGTTTTCTCCATCAAGAATGGAAGCCCGGCTACCGATCACAACAGTAAAGGCATCACGATCGTCTCTGAGGGCCTCCTTTTTGGCCAATTCTGCAGCTTGAGTAGCAAGAATATCCTTCTTTTCGCGTTTCTTTAACTCTTTACCAGTTGCACCAACATCAAGAGACTTAGCTGCACTTCTGCTCTGCCGCTCATTCAGCTTTTGTTCTTCTTCAGAATTTATCTCTTCATCTTCTTCATCAGAGGATGGAAGATCTATACCGTCGATATAGGATGAAGCTTTTGGTGCAGCTTTTGGCTTCGGTTTACTGGAAGTAGTGCTTGCTCCTTTCTTTGGCTTGTCCGGCTTCGCATCCATGCTTGCAAGCATTTCGGAGACGGACATCTTCTCTTTACTACTCTTGGCCTTAGTACCAGCATCATCTGCCTTCTTCTTTCCCATTGCTAGAGCTAATCAACCATAATTCAGTGTTAGAAGAATGAATTTGCAAACAAGATTAATCCAAAAATAAAAGCACAATCAATCATAAAAGCTGAACAGATTTCAAACAAAAACTCTAGTGGATCTACAATTAGTTGATCACGCTAATCCAACTTCGCCATATGATGACTATAGTAGCAAAAACACAGGATTTGCTTACAGTTCTTTGATAAAATTATTATTAATATTTTTCAAGCTAAATATTGGTTTGATTTAAGGTTAGAAATTAAATTAACTATTGAATTTTATTTTTTTGGAAGGAAAATTGAGATGAGGAAACAAAATTGAGATGAGGAAACAAAAAATTGGGGAAGAATCTGAAGTACAGAAACCCTATATATCAATCGACATAAAATTAAATTGACATTCAATGATGAGGTTTTACTTAGAACCTGCTCTACACATCAATTATCGAGAATGAACTAAAACGCTTCACAACCTTTTAAACCCTAATTCAATTTCGCAAAAAGCTCCCTACGTCGAAATCCCTAAATCAGAGCAAAATCCGTAAATCCATAACAATTAGCCAGAGAAAAGATGATATCCTCAATCAAATCCCCAAAAATAGATAATAATAAGCATAAATTCAAACAAAATCAGAAGAAAAATTCCTATCAAACAAGATCTATTGAGGAATTGCTTCGAGTCTTAAAATTTAACATTCCGATCATCAATCAGGTTAATCCCACGGCGGTCACCTGAGATCCCACACTTCCGTGCGGCGGTGGATATGAAATATTGGTAGATCTGTGCAGGAACCGAAAAACACGTTAAAGAGCGATAGAGAGACGGCGGAGATATGTTATAAAAGAAGGGTTTCCGTCTAGATCCGGTTCAGAACCGCCGGTTTGACAGTTCTCGAACCGCCTACTACAGTTCAAACCGAAACCGGGTCGGTTTCGAACCGAAACAGCGGTTCTGACTATTTGGAACGAGGCGGCGACTGGGAAGAAAAATGAGGGAAAAAGAAGTAATAAATGAAAAAATTGAGGAAGAACGAAAAATATACGGAAGGACACTTCAATCTCCCTTTAAATTATACTGTATATATTTTATTAAAATATAATGTTAAAAATATTTAAATATAATTTAATATTTTTAAAAATTATTAAATAATTAATTTATACTATATAAAGTCTATTACTCAAACAAAAAGATTTAAAATATAATATTAAAAATATTTAAATATAATTTAATATTTTTAAAAATTATTAAATAATTAATTTATACTATATAAAGTCTATTACTCAAACAAAAAGATTTATATTGAGACGGAAAAAATATTAAATTGTTACAAAAATAAATAATTATTAATAATATAGATATTACTTTATCTGTCCCACAAATCATGTCTATGTTGCTGTTTCCGTCCGTCCCACATACCATGTCACTTTATTTTTTGGAAAATGATTATACACTTTAATCTATTTTAAGCTTTTTAATTTTATTTTATTTTTTAAATTTTAATTAAGTTAATTAGTTATCTTAATCTTAATTTATAATAATTTATAATTATTTTTAAATAATAAATTTAGTAAGTAATTAAAGTATATTTTTTAAATTAAAATTATAAAATATTAGTATATTAAATAATAAGATAATTTAAAGTGAATATAATTATATTATAAAATTTACAAAATTTGAAATATAAATATACTCGGTTATTGACACGTGGCGACTTGCTCAGAATTGTGGTAAAAAATTACTGTGAGTTTCAGCTTGAACCGGAACCACCATAACTCGAATTGCTTTTTATGGCAAATATATTCTCTTTGTTTGCTAAAATTTTGTTACCTTTTGTTTTATTGTCCGATAAATTTGTGTTTATTCTATTAATAATAATGATTTTATTTATTTATAATTTTAGAACTCATTTTTTAATAAATAATAAATTATTTTTTATTTTTTATTTATTTCTCGGTCATTTTATAAAATTTTAATAATATTTTTATTTTATTTTTTAACTATTTATTTTAATATTAAAATAATATTATTTTTTAATATTTACATCGAAACAAAATTATATTATAGTTTCTTTGGAAAAGTAATTCAAATCAAAAACTGCCATCGAACCAGCTGGAGGATGTATTTTTATTACTCTATTTATCTACAAAAACTATTTTTTCTTTATAATTTTGTGAATAGATAGAATATATATATATTTTTTATAAGAAATGTTTATAGACCTGACTGCGTTAGACTTTCACCTAGTGAAGTTGAAGAAGGAAAAAGAAAAAAAAGTCACAGAAAGAAAAAAAATAAAATAAAAAAAAAAAGAAAAAAGATAAAAGATGTGTTGAGCAAAATTCTAATCATTTAGGATACAATTTATAATTTTTTTAATAATATAATCCATTCGTTTAGCAATAAAAATTACATTTTTTTTTTTATTATTTATTGCCTATGTATAAAAGTCAATATTTTCTTATATAGTAATTATCTACTTAATTATATATTATAAATACATTTTTAATCAACTACTTATATAAATATCATTTTATTACAAATAAACTAATATGAGTAAATTTGTCATTTAATTAATAAATATCATCAATTATAATTAAAATATAATATTCTTAATAATATTGTGCCAAAAGAAAAGTAACTCAAATCATTAATAAGTAAAATTATTATATATTACTCCTTGTCCTACAAATGCCTATATTTTTTTATACAAATTTTAAGGGTAGTCAGTAACTATGTTGATTACGGTTAATTAGCACTGCGCTTGATTAATTTTAATCTGTCGAATTATTTTTTAATCCAACTGTGGAAATGTGTGAGAAGAGTAAAATTGAAAAATTAGTTACAATTTCTGTAACTTTCCACCATTGTTGTACTTTCTTATTCTTTATCTTTATGTTTGTTGCTATTTTTCTTTTTAAAAAAGAATTGTTTAACAATTTATCATATTATTTGTTCTTTCTGCATATTATTTTAATTAAAATATTAATAAATATGCCTATATCAGTATACAATTAGTTTTAAAATTACTGTGATTAAATAAAAAGAGCATAAAATATATTTATCGAAAACATTATATTATTGTTTCCATAAGTGTTAAAAATATAATTCATCTCTTTGGGCCTAAATGGGTTATTGGGCTTGCCCACGTGTATATATATATATATATATTATCTTAATACTAATATCATAATATCTCACTCTCAAAATTCGTGCCCTAACTTTCTCTCTGCACACACAGTGCACGTCGCTGCCGCCTCACACACAGTGCATCGCCACCGCCTCGCCATCTTCCTCACACTTCTCATCACACACAGAGCACCTCACCATCATCACCATTCATTTATACTCTCTACACAATCGATTCACTCGCACGATATGCACGCGATTACTTAACTCACTTAACTCCGCTTTTACTTCGTTCGTACTCTAATCGATTTTCGCATCGATATTCCTTCACTTTCATCTTGTTGTTAACACTCACACTTGTTATTGTTAGATGTTCTATCATTCTTCTTTATTCTGCCGGTGCTCGGTTCGGTTTAATATGTTTGTGTGATTCGGTATATTATTGCTGGTGTACAGACCTCTGGAAAGCACCTAACGTGATCTAATTCACTGGATCACTCCTACTTAGGTTGTATCGGCTCTGTGGTTTGATTACTTGATACTTTCTGTTTGGTTGAGAACTTATATGTGTTCCTTTGAGGGCACAGTGACTTTCCTCTAGTTGATTCATGTGTTGCTTAGTATGTTTTTAGATCCCTTGTAATTGTGGCGTATTATTCATATATTTCGCCTATTGTGTACATCAGAATATTTGATGATTAACATGGTTCGGAGTGCAAGTGTTCCTCATTCTTTGAGATAAATTCTGTTTAAATTTGTATTGAGTTTGTTAACAATAAACTCCTCCTGTGCTCTTTAATACTCATTCCGTCCTAATTCAATTCATTATTTTTACTATTTTCGTCCATCTAACTTCAAAATATTTATTTATTATTTTTTTTAAAAAAATCATACATTAGTAATAAAAATACTCTTAGGGTGTGTTTGTTTGGGGGATTGGATTTAATATCCACTGTTCATCCCATTTTTTCTCCTAAAAAACATTAAATCAAACACTTATTTTTTTATTTTTTATAATATACTAAAAATTAATTTTACATTCAAAACATCGCATCAACACTTATTTATATCATATCATAGAACTATTTAAATTCAAAATTTTTACTATTAAAATCCCAACTCAAAATCCAAACCCCCAAACAAACACACCCTACTTAAATTATAAACATACCTGACAATGTTTGTCACACGCTGCAAAATTTAAATAAAATAAATTTACGTCAACGATAAAGATAAATGTAGTATAGCTGAATTTCAGTTGTTTCATATATATATATATATATATATATAACAAAATGGGAGTTTGGAAGTCAAGAATAAAAATAAAAATAACAAACTAAAAATTTACGGTTAAAAGATAAATTCAATAAAAATAAGCTTTCAGTCTAGAAATAAAATTGACAAAATAAATTAGTACACGTGTATAACCAACTCTTCCTTAATTTCTGGATAGTCAAGGTAAGCTGTTAACTGCTTCCCAAATTAGACTAGAACCCTAGTGAGCCACAAAAGATTTACTAGCCTAATCGTCTTACGAACTATAAGAGTCTAATTTAATTTTACAATTACCAATGCATAACTATTTAAAATTGATTATGTGATTTCCTAGTGGTGCATATCTTTAGTTGCTACTTTAACCAAATTAAAATGCAATTTCGAACGCCTAATTTAGTCTAAAAATTAATATTTAATATAATTAAAATACTTGGACACAATACCAAACTAAATCAAAGATTATTAAACATTAAAATAAAAAAACACAGAAATACTTAGGAACCAAGAAATAATATAAAATTAAAACATAGTCTAATATAAAAAATTCATACAAAGTTGTTTCTTTCATTCATAAACTAGAAAAATAAACTACTCGTTAATCATAGGAGGAAAAGTAAAGATAGAAAAGATAAACATCGTCTATGATTAATCGGATTAACGTAAAAAACTCAAAATCTTCTTGAAAAAAGATTTCTCTTTCTTTTCATTGCACGATTATTCCCTGAGACTGTTCTGCACTTGTTCTCCTTTCTGGCATGAAAAGTGGCACTCAAAACTCTACTTTCTTTTGTTTTTACCCTAATTTTATAACAATTGAGCTTTTGGGCATTTTTGTTCTTTTTTTTCTTCCGGTTCTACCAATATTATGATTTTTCTCATGCAAATCATAAAAAAATAATATATACACAAATTGGATATAATCTAATAAAAATCAATCAAATATCGCAAAAATATAAACATTTAACACATGTGGTTTCTGATTATCAATACCATTACATATACAATTATTCTATATATAAAGTCAAATGGCAAAAAAATCAAAAACTCTTACATATTTTTAGTAACTAATAAAATACTATTATTTATTAATTTACCAAAAAATCCCAAAAGTCCTCTTTGCCATATTACAACATATAGCAACATAAACCAACAACAACAACATATAGCAACATAAACCAACAACAACAACAAAATACACTCAACATATAAGTTTCAAATCCAAATTTGTCCACAGAGCTTATTATAAAACACATAAAACAAACAACAAAGGCGGCGACATACGACAAATTCGCTACCTGCAAAGAAGACATTAGGAAGGTAGGCAACTCAAAGGATGATTGAAGTGTCTTCAGGAGCATCAATCTAGACATTCTGAAAAAACTTCTTTCTTCTCTCAATTATACCATTTCTTCGATGGATAGAAACTCATGTCACACATCGAATATGTAACAAATTGCTTCCCATGGTACAAGA